CGTCTACGTATGCACAAGACATTTTTAAAAATATAACTGATTGTAAATGGTGCCTGCCTGAAGGTGCCAGCTTTGGATCGCCAAGCCTTCAAATGCAGTCTTTCCATGCAGCGCTGGTTGCGCCACCAGTTTTTCGTGCAGTACGGATTACCTGTGGAAGCTGGGTGCTCAGCAGTCAAGAGGATATTGTCACTTCCTTGCTTATTTGCAGATAGGAAAGGCCCTTTCCTAACATGTGTTCTCTGCTCATATTGCAGTCTGACAGTGGAGGAGCCTTCAAAGGTTTTAAAGGCTTGGTTGTGCCTTCTGGAGGTGGAGGGTTTTCTGGATTTGGTAGTGGCCCTGGAGGGAAGCCTCTGGAAGGACTGTCTAATGGAAACAGCACTAGTGCCCCTCCCTTCACTGGTGCAAGGGCAGCAGCAGAGCCTAAGGCAACCTTTGGTAAGTAGCCCTCCTCCTCAGCCACCTCATATGAATGGAATCTAGGAGAAATAACTTTGTAAAGAAGTTTCTCTTGTACAAACCCTCAGTCCTCAGTCTGTAGGCAGAAACAACAATAATGTCAGGGATGGAACTTCGGGGAGATATTGGCTATGTATACAGTAGGCAGATAGGCAAAGCACAAGTTTTCAAGCCAGAACAGATCTGGATTCTGAGCTCAGTTCTGCCAGTTATGAACTATATGACCTTGGCAAAGTTCCTTAACCTCTGACCTTCAGAATTGACCTAAGAGAGCTGAGGTTGTAGATCAGTGGTGGAGCACTTGCTTAGCATGGCTGAGGCACCCTGGATTCCATCCCCAATGCAGCAAAATAAAAAAAATGAGGTGAAAAGGAAAAATGCTTCATAGACCCTTTATGAAGGTTTGCTGCTTGTCCATTAATTCATTATGGACATGTGTACCAAGGGATCTGTGTGCTTCTTACCATGATGGTCACTAGGAATTCCCATGACGCTGTCCCTGGTCACAGAGCCCTCCCAGGCCATGTTTGAACAAAATGTGTTGATAACCTGATCCTGTTTTAACTCTTGGGATTTACACAGAGAGCAGGATCATGGGATGATTCTGACTGGTTGGGTTTTATTTAGCTAATTATTCTGAAAGTTTATACTGATTGATTTTTATACTATGTACTTTCTGTTACAGTTCGAACTACTTTAGTATATGTTTTTGCCAGCAACTTTGGGAATTAAAATCTTTTACTAACAATATTTCTGCCAGTTCTGTTTGAAATGAACATTGTTTTAAAGGAAAAATTTTTACTTTAAAAATATAGAGACTTAATGTTAGTCATACAGTGAATACTGCTCTTTGCCATAGCCAGCCTTGATACCCAGATCCTAGATATTCCCTCTTGAACACACACTTGTAGTGCTGCAACAAAACAGGGTATAGTTAAAGCAGAACAAGACAGAAGAGTGGTGTAAAAATCCAGATGGCTTCATCAAATTAGTTTTAAAATAAATTGTTCAAACTTTAATTTCCTATAGGTTCTTTTGCTGCAAATGGCCCAACTGCCTTGGTGGATAAAAAGATTTCAGATCCCAAAACTAACGGCAGCAGTCCACAGCCCTCGTCCTCCAGCCTTGCTTCTAGCACAGCCTGTGCAGGGAGCACCTACCACAAACAGCTGGCGGCCTTGAACTGCTCTGTTCGGGACTGGATAGTGAAGCACGTGAACACAAACCCCCTGTGTGACCTGACACCCATCTTTAAGGACTATGAGAAGTACCTGGCCACTATTGAGCAACAGCATGACAATAGTGGCAGTGGAAACTCTGAAAGCGGAATGAGCCAGATGTCAGTTGACACACAGACCCCTTCCCTGTTTGGTTCAGCAAAACTATCACAAGAGTCAACATTTTTGTTTCATGGCAACAAAACTGAGGACACATCTGAGAAGAAAATGGAGGTTGTGTCTGAAAAGAAGACCGACATAGCACCAGAAGCAGCAAGTGTCTCGTTTAATTTCGGCAAGAAAATTGATAGCTCTGTTTTGGGCTCACTGAGCTCTGGTCCCTCAGCTGGATTTTCATTTTCACCTGGAAACTCCAGTTTATTTAGTAAAGATATTACCCAGAGTAAACCAGTTTCTTCACCATTGGAGGGTCAAGCAGAAGGTGGCAGTAATGAATGCAAAGGTAAATTTTAAAATTATCATTGTAAGTTTTATATTTGTAAATTTTGTGTTTAGTGGGAAAAGCATATTTTTTCCCCCGTTCCAGGTGGATCTCACATTGTGACTCCATTGCATCCTGCTTGTGTTGTCCTGGATAAAGTTTATTAGTCCTTACTTGTAAAATGACCTAGGACCTATTTTGTAGGGTTGTTGGAAGGATTATAAAATGGGACTCGGAGGTAGTTCAGTGGTATAGTGCTTCTTTGGCGTGCATGAGGCCCTGGATTTCATCCCCAGCAACCCCCACCCCCAAAAAAATATATACACACACATAAAGAACATGTGTATGTGTAGCCAGGCATATGGTGGTGCAGGCTTGTAATTCCAGCAGCTCTGGAGTCTGGAGCAGGAGGATCCCAAGTCCAAAACCAGCCTCAGCAACTTATTGAGGCCTTGAGCAACTTTGTCATATCCTCTCAAAATAACAAAAATAAAATAAACAGGCCGAGAAATGGCTCAGTGATTAAGCACCCTGGGTTAAATCCCTGGTACCAAAAAGAAAAAATATATCTAGCATTAATGATTTTGAGAAGTATCAAACACATGGCTTTGCATTTAAAGAGATTGACTTCTCATAGCACAGCGATTAAACCAGCACAGTGGTTCCCCTACAAGTCTGAAATTCAGCTTCCTGAAGGTCGGTGGTGGGTTCTGAGTGACAGTTCTGTCTGTAGCACCAATGCCACAGACCAGGCAGCAGCCAGAGCCTTGGTCCTTCCACTCCCTCTGCTCTTGGCTCTCTTTTTCTTTCCTTTTTTTTGGGGGGTGGGGGTTAACCAAGGATTGAATTCAGGCACTTAGCCACTGAGCCACACTCCCAGTCCTGTTTTGTAGTTTATTTAGAGACAGGGTCTCACTGAGTTGCTTAGTAGTGCCTCATTTTCACTGAGGCTGGCTTTGAACTCTGATCTCCTGCCTCAGCCTCCCGAGCTTTTTTATTGGTACTTTATAGTTGTACACATTGGTGGGATTTGTTGTTACATATTTGTACATTTACACAGTGCAGAGTTGCTTTTTGATTTAGCATGTTTTCTTGCAGCTGCCTTTCTCTTCCAGAGAACCCTTCCCACTTAAACAGAGTCTTAGAGGTTGAGTACTGCCGTGACTGAAAGTGCCTTCTGGCCCAGTTAGCCAGGGAGCTAGCTGTAGGAGCAGAGCATGAGCCCTGTGGCCATTCAGACAAAGCCGAACTTACTTACACTTGGCTTTGGAGCAATTTCTCTGACAAACTTCCTCTATAAAAAGCTTTACTTTTCCTATCATTGGCATTGCTGATACTGCTATTTCTCGGCATGCTGTGGATCCAGTCACAAGAGCGTTTGGAGATGAAGGCATTAGAGTATTCTCTGAGATTTTAGTTCTCCAGCAGATAACCTGAATATAAATAAAAACTATTATTTTTTACACAATAATTAAAATTCAGCAGTGGCCTCCCCCCCTCCAAAAACAAAATGAAGAATGGTGTGTGTTTAGTCTTTATATTGGCCTGCATGGGATATCCAGGGTTGGGACTTAAATGGTCAGTAGCAAGCTCCCGCTGTTTTTCCAGTCCTGGGTTGAGCTTGACTGAGTTGTCGTTTTTTGTAAGGTGAAGACGAAGAGGAGAGTGATGAGCCTCCCAAGGTGGTGGTCACTGAAGTGAAGGAAGAAGACGCTTTCTACTCCACCAAGTACGACATGACCCTGGGAGCTGGCTTGGGAGTCCCGGGGCTGTGGGTCAGCTTGTCCTCATCAAGGCCTGAGCTCACCCTGGGCATCTCTGAACTGGAACGGGGAGAACCCTTGGCCTGCTATTTTAAACAGGCCAGGTCTGGAGATTTCCTGCTGAGCACATGTGTCCATGCTTTAGAGACAGACTTCTTCCCCTGCCCCTTTTCTTCCTTCTCTCCCTTCTCCTTTCATCGTGAAGAAAGTTGGTTTGGTTTTGCTTCTGCTCCTTATCTGGAAGCGTCCCTGACCCCTTCCTGGAGACCTGGTCTTTCTGGATTTTCTTACAGACAAGAGTTGGGCACAGTGACCCGCCACCCCTTCTGTTAAGGGTTGTGAGAACTTTGGCCTCCTCTGGTAACGAGGCTATTACTTTGGGTTGGGGAGGGGAGGATTGCTTTGTTTTTAAATGAGCTGCCTCTTTCAGCTGAAGGGAAATTCAAATTTTTCTTCCTCTTGATTAAATGAGATTATTGCTTACAGAGATATTTCCTAAAAGATATTTGTACCATTTCATTTATAATGTACAGTTTTTAATAAGAAAAAATTAATAATGAGTCTGTAGTTTTCCATTTAACAAATCATCATATCCTCTGAGATTCTTAAGTGTTATTTTCAAGAATTTTCGAGGGACCAACAATTACCTTTGCTTATTTTTAGGATTTTTTTTGACAGGGGCAG